CAGCTCTTCAGAACCCCACCCTGAGCAGTCCTTGTTAATATCACCCGGCATCAGTGGTTTAATGAGTCTGAGTGATGAGTGGTCTCTTGGCCTGCGGTGTGCGGTGTTTACACAGGGGCGTATTCCGCTGTTAACAAAGCAAAGAGGTTTGCCAGCCTCTCCACACACTGTGGCCCCGGATGCTGTTGACAGCCAGAGCCGGAGAACCGCTTCCCTGACGCAGGCCGGGAGCTGACGGGCTTCAGAGCACCAGCTGGGTTTCCCAGCACAGCTCTCTGGACAGACGGGAGGCCTCTCGACATTTTTAGGCAGAAGTGTTAGCGCGGAGAGGTCCCAGCGGGGCCAGCCAGCAGACAGAAGCGCGTCGGGCTCAGAGCCAGGGCTGGATGGCAGAGGGCCGGGGTCCGTCTCTCCCTGGGCGGTGGGAAGGGCACTGCGGCGCTGGACGGAGCCGGCTGGGCTGGAATTATTGAGCACTGCGGATCGGAGGCAGGGGAGCTGCCCTTCCTCGGGACTCCTGCCCCTGGCAGGGATGATGAACCCCGTCATCACGCTGGGTGTGTAATAGACACAAACAGCAGACCGACTGCGAGTCTGCCAGCTGAGCTGAGTTATTGGCTTTGGTGCTTTAAATGTTTGTTCCTGCCTTAATCCATCTTGCTAATGGCTGCATTTTTAATAGCTCGTTCTGACATGCTGTGGGGAGGCTGTAAATCTCCCGTCGCCTGCTCTGTACCTGCTCGGGGACAGATGGCTGGGGAGAGGCAGGGGCATTCGTAGGTGGTTAGGCCAGTAGGATGCTGGACCGTGTGGGCAAGAGATAGAGATTTGTGCCTCAAAGTGTGTTTGAGTGAGTGCTTCCAGGCCCACCTTGTGTGACATTAGTAAGCGTGTGTGTGATATATTGAGTTTCAGTCAGGCTCGTGTGTGCCTGTGTGTTCTTGGCCCGACTTCTGCTTCTCGGGTGACTCACTGTCCGGTGTTGCCTCTGCCCCCTAGTGGCCGTACACCAGATGACCCCCCTCCTCCCCCCTGTCCTCTCAGACGTTTTGACTTTTCTCTGTCCTTGGGGAACCCCCCCAGTGAGAAGCACAGTGGAACGTCCGCAGAAGCATGTGTGCGCTGGCCTGAGTGTCGGCCTGTGTGTGTGTCCGTGGGGTCAGTGTGGAAAAGGGGATTAAGGAGCTTATTTCAGGGAAGAAAGGTGGAAGGGCGGGGGGGTGACGGCAGCAGGTGAGGTTTTCCAGGATGATTTTGGAGAGGGAAATTAATCAATGCTAACAAGCAGACTGATATTGCCGTCTGTCCTCTGTAGAGTTCCCATTAGTGCTCGATGTTTTTTTAATTCTTCAGAGCTGCAATTTCATTATGGAGCCCCTCTGTGGAAACACAACAGTATTAATCCTCTTATAGCAAGAGGGCTGTAGAATAGTACAGTAGAACAGTCCTGTAACAATAGGAGCTACAGTCCCAGTACAGTAGAACAGTTCTGTTACAATAGGAGCTACAGTCCCAGTACAGTAGAACATTCCTGTTACAATAGGAGCTACAGTCCCAGTACAGTAGAACAGTCTGTTACAATAGGAGCTACAGTCCCAGTACAGTAGAACAGTCCTGTTACA